GGGGGGGGGGGTCTTCGACCTGAAAAATCAGGGGTTAGGATTTGCACCCGGTCGAAAGAAACCTTGCTATCGCAAGAGTAACTCCAGCTAGCTTCGCTAGCTTTCGTGATCTTCCAAATCGTTGGCAGTTTTTGCAGATCAATCCAAGCGCGGCGTGAAGCCTGAGGGTCACCATCACAATTACGCCTGTTCATCGGTTCCGGGTCAGCAGTTCCGGGTCACTTCGGTGCCGGGTTCGATCGCATCAGCTCAGGGTTAGGGTTCAGGTCTTAGGGTTCAGGTTTTAGGGTTCAGGGTGTCTCGGGTGTCTCCAGACCTCAGGTGACTCAGGTGTCCCAGAGAGGTTTCCCAGTTGTGACCCTGGCCGGTGCTCCTTCCTTGAGAAAAAAATCAGGCTCCTTGGATTGGGCGGATTCCACAGACCAGGGAACAAAAGAACCAATCTTCCGGTCTTCCACAGTTTCAAAAGCGATTCAGTCAGGAACCGGGAACATCATGCGATACCGCAAAACCAGGCCTGGGAGGTAGAGCTTCCAGGCGGCTATCAGAGCGTCTTCCCGGAAGAGCGGAGACATCACCTGCGCCGTGCGTCATCAAAAGCAGCTCGTGGCTAGCGCGTTTGGTCGATGCCGGCAGCGGCCCGGCGCGGAACGGTTTGTGGGATTTCGATTGATTGGGGCACCTCTAGACTCTAGTGTTGAGGAAAACGATAGAATCAACAAGGAGTTCGACACCAACCATCCTGCCTGGAGGGAGCTCTCATCATTCCAAAACCCTTGGATTTCCCAGCCAACAAACCAAAAGGACTCCCCCTACATCCTCCTAAAATGATTGCTTGTTTGTAAGTCGTTGGCACTCCCCTGCGCCGTGTCCTAAACTTCTTTGCTCCTGAACACAGCTCCAGTCTGTACCAGCTCCAACTTTGTGCCTACTGGTTGTACTGCCTAACATTATATGCTTACTGTAGGAACTGAGTCAACAGTGGTTCCACTGTAGATAGTACCAACATCCAACCGTTCCTTGTTTTCTATGATCCAACCAACCACCTCTTTTCGTTGTCTTCCGTATACTCAACATTCATCATGACAAGGTGGTGTTTCCCCGGCACCACGCGGGCGAAGTAGCACACGATTGCCCGTTGAGCACTTCGTAGCACTGGAAGTTATTGATTCAAAGGAACAACAAATCCCAAACACTCCGTAGCTGGACCTTCCTGTGGCTGTTGAATCCTCGGATTTGTGTCCCCGATCGATCGCCAGCGATTTTGAAGGCCCTTAATTTTGACCTCCCTTGGGGTGGTTTCCGGGGTACACAGTCCCATGGAGTGTCCGGGGACGAACAAACATCCTCGCCCACTCTTCCCATCCAAAGCCACGAAAAACACCTCCAACCTCGTGACCTTGTTCCAACCAGATCTTCTTCGCAAATCCATATTCCTTCTGGTCTCGACATGCAGTTGGCTCTTCTCAATCCCTCCACTCTTCCCCCGCTTCGCCTCCACAAAGTCCGAATACCGATAGAGGCTTCGACCTGACCGGCGACCCGACCGGCCCCAGGTGGGCAGGAGGCTGAAAAAAGGCCCAAGGGACAGAGAGTGCCTGATTTGCGATTTGCATCCGAATCGAATCTCCGTTTCTTGAGCAAAAAACTCTTTGAAATGGAAGTACGAAGCAACCCTTCTTGACCGAGGTTGAGGAAGTGCCTGTACCCTCTGAGTTTTTGTGGGACACCCCTGAACTCATCATGGAAGCGGATGGACAAAAACTGCTTGGTTCTTGGAAAACGGTCTTCCGAAATCTGGGACCATCCACTTCCGTGTTTATTTCAGAACCGAAGCATCTAAAGACTTTCATTGGCTTCCGAAGAACTAGGGATGGTTCACTATGATATCATATATACCCATTCGATGTTTCTTCTTCAGCCCCGCTCTTAGATCCTGTCAGAGTTTTACGTTTAGTTTTTTCGCGAATCCCGAAAATGAACCAAAAGGGCTTAGAACAGTAGAGTATGGCACCCTCTCTCCCTTTCCTTCTTTCACTGTCATCGAACGCGTATCACCCTGGAAACCACCCCATCCCTCCAAGTAGCTGATGGAATGGTCTGGTAACTCCACGTCTGCAGAGTAGGCCGTCACAATCTCGGTTTTCAAAGAGAAAACACCGTGGAGGGTGAAGCACACATCACACATTCAACCACAATCACATACATGCAGCCCTGAGAGTGCAAATGACTCATTTTACCCCTATGGTAGTGGATTATGACTATATACTAGGTGGAGTAAGATGAGTCATTTCAAGTTCTGGGCAGAAAAACACTAACAAGAAGCTACTAGGTGGAGGCCATCGCATTAGGTTGGAGGCCATCGCTACTAGTAACAAGAAGCTAAGCCCGGTGGAGGCGATCTCCCCCAAACAAAGAGGTGCTAAGAAGTGCATCTACGCAATACGCAATACCTTGAATCTAGGACTCCTGGAAAAAGATGTTTCACAAATAAGTGGTTTTCGGGTGCCATGATGTGCCATGTTAATCTCTTGAAAGTCGTTTCCCTCCGTGGAACGTGGCACATGGCATGTTCGCTCTCACTGCGGATGCGGAACTTGGTGTGACGGGATGCCGTGGCTGTCGAATTCCACCTGAGGGCGAAAGCTAAAGGCTTTGCAAGTTTGGATGGCAAAAAGACTGGCAACATCCTGCAAATCCACCGGTTCGTTCCCTCAGCAAAAGCAGTGGGCCATCCGATAGCTTGGAGGGTCTCCTAGAAGGGACACAACGATTGTGGTCAGGAGAATCTTGAGGACAATGAAGGCTTGTCTCACATCAGGTGTTCCTATGAACTGAGCACAGCAAAAGTCAAAACCTGAGGATGTGCAGAACCTTGGCAGGACTTCCCTTTCATCGCGGCCCCATCCAAAACATTGGCTTCACACATGGCCACCGGGTCACCACGGGAGCTTGATGAAGCTTTCATGATGGGAGATCAAGCTGATGAGCTCATGAAGTCGCCACTTTGACAGTGGAGGGCAGTGACAGCCTTGTACAGCTAGCTGGTGACGCACGTCTTGCTACACATAGGCATCTTCAACCATCTAAACACACGGAACCTCCCTTTCATCGGGTCAGTGGATTCTTGCCGACATCATCCCTGCACTACCTCCGCCGCGGCGGATGTCGGCATCGTTGTTCTCCCAGCACCGGAAATGGCCATTTCCGCCCTGTCCGACTCGCCCCCGAGAGGGGGGCGGGAGACGGTCCTCCCTGTCCTGTCCCTCCAACCGCGCGACGGCGGGCTGCACCAGACTGGCTCCCGTCTCGGCCGCCAGAGCCAAGTATCCTCGGCCGCGACCAGACGTCGCCCGATCGCCTTTCGATCGGAGATCGGAAGACGAACCCCGCGCGCCCCCCCCGACTTCGGGGAACTGGAAAAGGACCTGGAAAAGGAAGAGGCTTCCCTAGAAGCGCGTGAAGCCTTCTGGACCATGAATGGTTGAAAATGGTTGAACATGGTTGTTCGATGTAGTTCGGTAAAGACCATTCTAACACCAGTGGACGAAGAAGCGGACTCACTGATGGGAAGCTTCAGCTTCAAGGGTGGGCGAGTAAATCTCGATCACGGACGTTGCCGCGCATGGCAATGTCGGTCAATCTCCCCATGTTTGGTGTTTTTGATGTGTTGTATGGTTTTGCTGCACCCTATGCTTGTGTACAGCGGCAATTGGACCTACAGCCGATACTGAGCTGAAAGCTGGTCAATCGTCTGGTCTGGGGTTTGGTCTATAAGTTGATCTATATATTATTATATATACAACATACAAATTGTTTGCAGACATGCTCAGCAATGTTGCCCAGGCATGCCCATCCCACGAACCATGAAAAAGCAAACGAACCATGTATTGGATCTGCTTATCATATCTGCTTAAATATTAATCTCATGAAGAAAAAGCCAAGCTTGTGGGGTCTTCCACACTATACCAATACTCCTGAGCTACTTCGCCTCCCTGCAGCATCCAGCCTGAGCTAGTCCGCTCACCTGCCAGGAATCGCTTCACATCCAAGGAGGTGAAGTCGACATTATCATCTGCGATCCAATACCAACAATAGCCCCTCAGTCCTCAGCTGGGTCAGTCAGATCAGTTGGGGTCAGGGATGATGTCGATTTCGTTGAATTCGCCAGCAAATGGTCAGTAGGTCCTCTCACAACTGGCTCCTGTGGGGGTCCAGTAGTATCTATAGGTCCCTTGCGTTCGAACGAATACGCATTCCACGTCCTCGTCGTTTCTCGGGGTCACTGGTCCCACCAGATGGGCTCGAGACGAGCTCCCTGTGTTCATTGGGAATCTTGAAGATACTCGAAGATCGAGACCCCGAAGCGGGACGGCTGCCCAAAAGTGAGCAAGTTCCTGCAACCAACAAGGACTATTGGCTTTGGAAGACGCAGGCCTTTTCTCGCTGTCTTTCTCGATGCGATCGAAAACCAGAAGATATCCACTAGCACCGGTTTTTCGGTGGGTGAAGCAAACATGCAAGCAAGCCGCATGCCTTCTTCTAAAGGCTAGAACATGGAGCATTCCCCCCAAAAGAATTGCACCTTTCTTGGATTGTCTCATTAACCTCTGATTATCATGATTATGACTCATGACTATGATAGAAAGGGGCCTCTCATCCTTCCACTCTGACCAATTCACCATGATGGCTGTTGGTCGCTTCACCCTGTTTGCCACTTCGCTCGGATCGGAATGCCATGGTCCAGTGATGTCCACTTCGCTCGTCGAGTGGGCGCTTCGCGCCGCTGGAAGCGAAAAACATCGGGAATTCCTTCTGTTCAAGGGAAGTAAGGGTTAAGTTAGATTTCACCAAATTTATAGGAACTACAGTAATTAGATCTCCCAGTTGAGGACCACTCAAAGCTTGTGGGAGCCTGCCTCCGACGCTGATCCACCAATTTTGGGGCCTCTACTGAGTACTCTACGGTGCTGCGGTAGTATGCAAGGGTTCCTCTGTTGCAGTGGCATCCGTCAGCCTCGAGAACTGTTAACTGCTTAGAGAGTCCAAGTGGTCAGGCCAGAAAGTGAGATTCTGGGCTTCAGTTTCTTGTTTGACCAGATCCAAAAAGGCCACATGGTGGTTCCCAAAAAACCTAGACACCCTGCTGCCCAGAAAATGCAAAACCCAGAAATCGCTGGTGCCCAGTGGTTCCAATTCCAGGCCAAACCGGGTGACACCCTGCCAGAGGCTTCGTGGCTTCGGAATCCACTGAAGCGGGGCCGACCCCTGGCCCAACAGAAATCACAGCTCTCTTTCTCTTTTCAGGTGGAGTACAAGAGGGAGGTGTTTTCCACTCTGAAGAGGGAGGTGTTTTCCGTCCCCATCGACCAGGTCGGTCAAGAGTCTGAAGGTCTCTTGCTTCACAAGCTCCTTCAGTACGAAGTCAGCTTTCATCTCCTTATACCTGAGATGACAACAGCTTGGCATGGTGCCGAACATTGGCACCCTGCTGAAATGGTCTTAGCACACCCAAACCGATTCCTTACCATGAACTTCTTCCTGCCAGATTCACCCAGATCGGACCAAACCCTACACCCCAATCCCCCAAAAAGAACAGGTTTCCTTCATCCTTGGCACCTTGGCCCACCCCGAAAACGGGTGAAGCCCCCCGTGCTCGACCCCGTGTGCCGACCCACCGGTGCCTTCCTTGGCGTCCTGCACGGCCCCGACCTGCCGACCTCCGACCAGCGGTCCGCTGTACTTCACCGTGGGGCGACACGCTGTACTTCACCGTCTCCTGGTACCAGGACTCCTGGAGAACTGATCACCCGGTACGCTGGGCGAGTTGTGATGCGAAGGAGACGGGTTTGGGGGCGGGGTGGACAGTGTTGGACATGGGTGGCCGGGTGGTCGGCTTCTCTGTGGCTCGGGTGAAATGGTGTGTGAATGTAGTTGAGCTTCAGCTTTGGCCGCTCTGTTGATTTGTTTCTTTTTTGCTCAGTTTGCTTTGGAAACGGAATGGTGAAAGAGGGCATATCCATCTATATAAAGCGGATAGGAACCAGTCCATGAATGACTGTCCAGATTCATGTTCAATGCTTTTTGCTCCGCCCTCACCGCTCTCGGCTCCTTTTGCCAATTTGCTAAGTCTTGTCCTTAGCTGGTGCCATGTACTGTGGCTGGGGGTTTCACTGGTTTTCAGATGCTCCACCATCTCTTCAGATGCTCCACCAAGTGTCGGTAGTGGGCGAAGAAGATGTCAACTACACCTGATGCCAGGGCAGCACGCTTTCGTTTGGAACATCGGGGGGCCTCCAAGCAAGAGGGTTCGGTCTAAACCAGGACCATCCCATGGCATGGGTGTGGAGATCCCCTGAGTAGTGTAGTCCATTGCATTGGATGGTCCAGGCATGTGCCGCCTTATTTCTGGTTGTCTCCGTCTGTCTCCCTATATAGTCCAACACTGTGCCATTTGATTCCATTCTGTGCTCCCTAGGATACCTGGCCCAAAATTGACTTGTATATATACTATATATGGTGGTTGATCAATATTCGTTCATCCTGGAATGGCCATTCATCGCGGAAAAAAAGATATCTTTCGCGGATCTTTCGCGGCCTCATCGCGAAGCATGGTCCTACAACCATGTCTAGCCAACATGAGCCGGAACATGTCATAGTATCACAAAATAGGGAGAGACATCTTGCAGCATGACCCCAGTAGATGGTTGAACGTTTCCACAGCTACTCAGGGTCACTTGCAGCATCTGTTCGACAATTGTGCCAAATAGAGTCAGGCACAACTCAACCCAATCCTCGTGCCAGCTACCAACACAGGGTGATACAGCTTGGGGAATGTTGGGGGCCTCAAGCTGGGAACCTAGACTTTAGCGGCACATTCGCGAAACTTTCGCGGATCTTTCGCGAAATTTCACTGGTGCTTTCCCCGGGAAGCCGTAACATGTGCAAACATCTGCGCAGCCCGTCAGAGCAGCTGCAGGTCGTTGCCTCACTGTCAGGGCTGTGCCTACCCAGATTGCTAGCCTGTGACAGTGGGGACAGGAATCGGAGAATCCTTTACGCACTGCCAGGGCTCGGCACGGAAATGTTGAGGCTTCAGTTCGTTAGTCTGTGACACATGGGGACACTTCCACCCACTGGCTCTGCCGGAGGATTGCCTTGCCCTTCTATTCTTTGTCAGTCCGGTAGAAAGGAAAACAATGAAAGCGATGACCTTCGATAAATCTTTCGCGGAAAAAAAAGATACTTTCGCGAACCTCATCGCGAATCTTTCGCGGATGGTTCTAACAACATCTGAAAGGCTGTTTTATATAAAACTCCTTACACGGGGTTTTCGATCAACTCCCATATATTATATAGAGGTTTCACCGAACTGTACTAAGAATGTTACACTACAAAACTAGGCCAACCACGTTTTTAATAGTCTTGGAAGTCTAGGGTGCTGATGAAATTCAAGAACCAACCGACCACACACTCATCCTCCACCTAGGTTCTCTGGTGTAAAGGGACCCGCGAAAAAAAAATATAAACCACCAAACGCACCCACGACCCAAATAGCTTGATTCGTCCATGCTTGAATAACCAATGGTCGCATGGAGGCCGGACAAAACTGACCGTGCGCGTGCGCCGCGCGTCTGCACCCTTCAGGCGTGTTGAACCCAGCTCGATGAGTGGTCTTGGGTATCGTGACACAGGAGTGGAGAATGCAAGTGCAGGGCATGGCGGCTGAGTAAAGGACTTCAAGCGCATCCTTCGACCTTCGCCAGTTTCTCTTGAAAAGATGTGTCCAAAATGGCCCAAATACCTTTGGCATACCATGGCACACCTTGGTCGGGTGTCCTTGAATTTGACATGCCTGCGTGCCCTGGCCAGACCTGTTTCTTTTCGACTTCAAGTCGGAAAAGTGTGCGACTCCAATCCCACCCAGTCCCAACCAGAAACACATGGATGTTTCCCCAGCCCCGGCCCAACCAAGGATCGGACAACTACTTGGCATATTGAGTTCCATCCCGAACTGTTTCTGCTTGGGACTGGGCAAACCCGAACTCGACTAAGGAAAGAGCCTCAGACTCATGGAATCGACGCGACCCGCTACATCTAACATTCCAGACGGCCGCGGCTTCGTACGCGGCGGCTCCGACTGGCCTGTTGCATGCAGGTGAAGGGCATTCTTTCTCATCGTGTCCCTGCACGAACGGTGCACACCGTGCGTACGTGGGACCGGCGATATCACCTCGGACGTAGCGAAGATGGAAAAAGCGCGATTTGAGAGTCCTGCTGTAGTGACCCGGCCTGTAAGCCTTCAACACAATACAGATCAAACAATGGGTTCTTTGAATGAAGAATCCATTTGGAATTGTGATCACTAGCATTCTCCATTCCTCAAACTCACTCCATTCACCCTGCATTTGCCACCGCGTTTCCACGCTGGGTCTCATCGTCCCCATTGTCCCACGCCTAAATTCCGGCCCCACCGCCGCGAAGAAGAGCGTCTTGTCACACCCAGTACTGTTTGCAGAGGAGGGCGGGCCGTCCGGATGGAGACTGCCTCAGCTTCAGGACTTGGGAATGGGAAAACCCATGAACACCCTTACAGTAAGTAGTACCAGGACCCCCTAAGGGGTGGTTAATGGACACCCCTTAACCTCTAAGGATCTATAATTGGAGACCCCGAAACCGGGGGCCCTGGCAAGGGTAGACTGAGTTAGACGCGCCGTCGGTTCTTTTCAAGGTTCTGAAGTCCGACCACACTGGGAAGTCTTTACCTTATTTCACTAGTTTGGTTTGAAGATGTTTGAAGACTGGTTTCAGCGCATCAAATTCATCAAACAGCTTGCCTCAAGGCATCGACTGCCTGACCTTCAACACCCCCCAAAAATGCAACATTGGCCCACAGCTTGCCCTAACGTCAGGATGGTTTGACCATTCACGTGGTGCTTTGACGGGGTCTTTCGAGCGTCAAATCTACTAAATGAGAGACCCATGGGATCCTTTCGTCAAACCTGGAGAAGTCGACTCCACCAAGAGTGTCGAAAAGAAACCTCAACCCTGAAGAAACCTCAATCCCTCCCGTGGTGGTTTGACATGGCTCGAAAATGAAGTACTTAAGCCGAAAAGAACACCTCAACTCTGCTTCCGGTTTGGAAAAAAAACACCCGGAAAGCGGCTGCAGTTGGGTCTGTCTTCGGAACAGAGTCATTCAAGGAAGGACGTTTAGGGCACACTTCTCATGTCTGGCAGAACGCGGATATAGGTTGTTTTGATGTCATCCACGTGGCTCATGAACGCAGAGTAGGAAGGCAGATCCTGCTACAACCTTGGGATGTTTTAATGTAGACGGTCCCCAGTATTCCTGGTCCACCAGGATTTAGTGGCTCGAATCCTCCTGAACAACCATCGTCTTTTTCAGGATCTTACACTACAAGACCAGGTCAACCATTCTGTTGATGGTCTTGGAAGGCTACAGTAGTTAGGGGTGTTGATTCATATGCTCAAGCCTGAAGAGTCTAAAAAGGTTTTACAATCCATGCCTGGGTGGGTGTAGTCATCAACAGCCTACGTTGAAGTCTTAAGTATCCTCCGCACTAGAAGGTGTCCCAATGGAACGTAGAACAAAACATGAACGAACTCCGGTCACTCCCTGTCAATTGTGAACATGCACTCATGGGCACTCCCCTGGGGGAAACCCACCCATGTGTTCAATCCATAGGGTCCAGGTACCTCGGATGGTCTTAGAGGTGAAAGTACTTCCAGAGAATGGTTTTTTTTGGGGGGGCCAAAGGACACCCTATGGTCCTGGACCCGGCAATGGAAGAACTTCCACTCGAACAAGGTGCGGGGACATTGGGGGACCATCACCTGCTGTGGGGCTGTTGAATCCAAAGTCCCCGCAGCTGAGCAGCCATCAATTTGCGGCCTCATGGCCCAAACTGGCCACAGCCACAGCCAGATGGGGCCCGAGAAACACCAGTGCCATGCCCAGCATGGACGCATTTTACAAACGAACGTCGTCTACATTCGTCTACTCAGCCATTGCTGATTGCTGGAGCCGAAAAATCCTGGAAATGGTCAAGTGTCTTGCAGTGGTTTCAGAGTAGATTGCAGAAAGCTCAGTATACCTCAGTATGTGGCTTGTACCCCATCTTTCAGCAGTAAAAAGGCGGCATCTAGATTCAACTACCGTCATGCCAGGCTTGGGTTGAGGACCCAGCAACATCACCTCTGGTGTCAACCACTGACTTGCTTTCCTCTCTTGCTGAGCACTGGCTGTGCAAAGAGATGTCCCTTGTCTCAAGAAGAATGGATCGAAACTCCGCGCTGTCATAGGAAAACTGCATGGATGTCAACCCTACCGCGGTTTTGGGGTATCCCCAATGACTGACAGCTTGGTTCGACCACCCTCGATTGGTGGTAGTCTCCCGAAAAAAAAACACCTGGTCACATGTTTTTTGATTCTGACAAGCACTGCGAGTTCACAGTTTGGAGTCGGTTCACCGTGGACATCAAGCCAAAGCATCATTTGCACCTAGAAAACAACCAATTACTATGGTCGAGTGTTCCAGATCCTTGTCTACCATTTTCCCGCTGCAAATGTGCGCGTTGAAGAACACCTTTCCAAAGTTGCACTGAACAGCGAGACAACACGAGACAACTAATACTGACTATCCTCCGTGGACGTTCTTTTTTCTCACCCGGCGCAGGTTCTCCAAGCTCACGCTCACAGCTCCTGGTCCATCTCCTCACTTTCGGTGGTTCTTCGGTGGTTAGACCCCCCTGGCACCCCGCCCCGAACCACCGAACCTCAGGAGGTGGGGTGGGCCAGGAGCCGGTCTGTACCCGAGATCGGCTGGTTGGTCCGTAAACCGGGATGGAAAAGGGTCCCAAGCGTCTGGGAGGATCCATGAGACCTGGGATGGTCAAACAGCCCGGACCTCAGGACCCAGGACCCAGTTCTGGGGGGGTTCCGGCAGGGTTTCGGGGAGACCTCCACGGCGTTCAGAGGGACATCAAGGCACCTCTCTTTTTGGCCCAAACACCACCACCCTGGCCCTGATCGGTGAAACTGCCATGGAGGTTTCTGGGACTTCGATCGATATTACCAGCACCCGAGACCTTCTAGGTCTCCTCTGGTAGCTTTTGGATACTTAAAAGTGTCAGGTGGTGACCTGTGAAGTCGGGTGCTGGTATGACAATGATATACCCTAGGATTCAAACAACCATTGTTTTAATAGTTTTTACCAAAGAACCATTGTTTTACTACGGATTTTTACGCTACACCACCAGCTCAACCGTCTTTTTTTTACAGTCTTTGACTCGCAGGATATATATTTATATAATACACAGTACCCTAAGAATCTGAGCCCTGGAAGTTTGGTTCGGGTCCGGACCCGGCCCGTTCAGATTCTGAAAGGTATCAATCCACCTCATCGTGTCTTTTTGCTCCACCAGACTGTATTACTCAGAACTTCCAGTCCGACCAATGACTCATTTTACCTGACCTGGTAGTCATAATCCATCACTACCATAGGGGTAAAATGAGTCATTTGGACACTCGTGGCCTCCTAGGCACAGTTCCTTCGACTTCGATCTTCATGGCCACCGAAGTCGGTCCAGAAGACAAAGGAACCTGGCCGTCCGCGTGTCTTTCCTTCCGTTTGTTGTCCATTCCCAAGAACACAGCGCTAAAGCAGAATGACATCAGGATCAGATTGGATCACGCAAGCATTCTTCCAAACACCCCAGATTGGAACATCTTGGAATGAAGGAAGGGGATTTGGGCGTGCCCAGAACACCAGCTGACCTGGAAGAATGCACCGTAGGTTTTGGTGTTGGCTCAGAAGTGAATCTCTTTTGCTGGCCACTTGTGGCCCCCCCTCTAATTTCTGACATTTGACATTTTGCAATCTCGTGATTCTCAATACACGCGCAAACCAAGCTCACAACAACAGCCACCTCCACCTGTTTCTTGAAAATCCCCTCTTCTACTTTTCAGCAATTCCCACATGTCACCCACCAGCCCACCAAACAATGGCCGCCATGCTCGCGCTCGACCTGACAGACCCCAGCAAACCCGTTCGGACGACCGTTCGGACGCGGACGACCGTCGTCTTTCTCCGGCGGCAACGGTCGAAAGCAGCCGATCAGCACCCGGAGTGGGCAGCGGGCGTCCAACGTGATCAACATCGGGATGTGTGGATTCTGAGGACTTTTTCGTAGCGAAGAAACAACAACAAACAAGCCTGTCGTCTGCCTGTCGTCTGCCTGCACACTCCATGGCAAATCGAAAGCATCGTGCACTGGGCTCTTTCTCAGTTGCTTGAAAACAGATCAGTTCCTTTGGACAAAAAACAGTTGAATTAACATTCAAAACAAATTGGATCCATTTTGGATGCACAAGTCATCGAACAAACATAAGGCAAGTAATTTGCCTGTTACGAAAATCCTTCGATCTAGGCTGCGATGAAGGCTTTTGCGCTCTGCGCCACTTCTTCCCCACCAGCTCCATGACAAATATCAAAGACACAGTCGCCAAAGATCTCTGGGTGATTGCCATCCTTGGAGCTGTCGAAGCAGCGGCTCCGGAAAAAGGCAAGCAAAGGCATCTTCGAAACAAATACGGGAACATATGGAAACAGGGAACCTGTGACACATACCTGGTTGACTTCAATTCCAACCATTGAAGCAAAACCCAGGCATCCTTCTGAAGGTGTTTGCCGCAGATCTTCTCTGCTTCTTGCTCTTCAGCTTCACTGCAGGTCGTGCTGATCAAGGACGCCGCAGTGGCTTGCATCTTAGAGTTCAAATATGCTGCCGCAGCTTCACTGCCACCCAGGCCGACCCACGTTCCAGGCGCCTCGAAACACGTGCCCACGGGCGTTCCGAACAGCTCCGTGGGGGGTTCGGACCGTCACAAGGCCGTTTTAAAACAGGGACACCCCCGGCCTAGGAAGAAAGAACATGGACTAAAACCCATTAGTGGGAGTTTCTTATTCAGCTACAAACTAACCTATCCTGGGAGGTCCAAGACCACTGTAACATATCATAACCAACGGGTGGACCTGGTGTTGTATTGTAAACATGTGTAGAAATCCTTCGAGCCTTAGTACAACAGCTGGTTTCGTAAAAGCCCTTAATATCAAGTCCATGGTGGGCCAGGTATGGCCAGATATCCTAGGGCTTTTTGGATCCACCTTTACACCGGATTCGGGGCCCACCATGGTATAAAGGGGGCATCCGCAACAACGAGGGATTTGACACTCGTTTTGACCAGGTCAAGCTCTTTCTTTGAATGGTCTTTCAAGGCGAAAAAACCGAACGCTGCCAGGGCTTTCTCGGCGGTGAAGGACACGGTCTTCACTGCGGTGGGACATGCGCAGCGAAGTTCGGACACTTGGAGTATGTGGGGTCTCACAAAACGGGGGGGGGGGCAAAACTAAAACTACAGTAATTATCTTCGACCACAGGAGCAGAAAGACTGGGCTTCTTATGACATCTTATGACCACTTCCCAACTCCCACCTGAAAGTTGTCATCAGTCTTTGTCTTCACAGCGAGCTTGGAAGAGAAGAAGCTCAAATGGTCCTCGCTGAGAAACAGGGGATTCCAAAGTCCCACAAGCAGTTCGATGGCACAGACTGCACAGACCCGGTGCAGCAGGTCCTTTAGGGAGTCCTTTAGTTCGATGTCCATATAAAACCACCCAACTTGGACATGCAGGTGCAGCAGGTCCCACTTGCAGGTGCAGCAGGTTCCATCGATGTCCCACCATGGTCTTTTCCCGAACCCATCGACGTGAGCGATGGCCAAAACCGATCATAGAATTTGGTAAACTCCATATGTTGGTATCGCTGTGGGATGTTCGCTATATCGCTTTACAGTCTTTACAGTGTTGGATGCCTTTATCATATTTCTTGAGGATTTTCCTTGAAAACATAGCCAACATGAAGTGCACAAAAAGAAAGAAAGAAAGAGATAATAGGACAGACATACATAAAGAAAGAATTACAGAAAGAAAGACAATAAATACAAAAATAAAGAAATACAAAAATAAATAACAACATAAAGAAATAAATACAAAAAGCGCAAAAAGAAAGAAAGCCAGAAAGAAAGAAACACATAAATACAGAAAGAGAGAGAGAGAGAGAAAGAAAAACAGAAAGACAGAAAGGAAGACAGAAAGAAAGAAAAACCGAAAGACAGAAAAGAAGACAGAAAGAAAGACACACATAAAGAAAGAAACAAAGAAAGAGAGAGAGAGAGAGAGGAGAGAGATGGTTTTCCATTGACACAATAGCACTTCCTTCCCCCTTCATTGCGGTTCTTGTTCTAGAGCTCTTGATGTGTCTCCACAGGCACTGTGAAAATGATACGAGAATGGTACGAGAGGGGATCCGCTCATCTAGACCACATTTTGATCATCCAGGGGTATCGCTTTGGTATCGCTTCATGTAAAGAGAACACACATCAAATAATGATTGAAGAAAATGATTGAAGTGTACATTGTGAAGGTAATCACTTTTGGGGGTTGACTGTATCGCTTTGCAGGTTTTTGGATGATTTCAATGAAATAGTTCCTCTCACCCAAAGATTTGTGTACAGACCCTTTAGGTCGTTGCTCGCGTGAATCCCTTGGGTGGTTTGTCCAGAAGCGGTGATGGGAAGAGCTGCGCGTTTCCCGCGCGACGGGCATGATGCTTGTGATGCATGTGATGCTTGCCATGGCATTAAAACATATATTTGAAATGCCATTGTGGGGATCGCTCAAAGTAAAGTTTACTTTTAATGTAAGGAATCCGGGTTTCTTTGGTTAGTCTTTGGAACCACTGGTTACCAGCTTTTGCGCAGGGTGTTTCTATGTGTATATTTTTGTTTTGTGTTTTTCTCTCTCCTTTCCATCGCTCGTAGCGCCCAGCTCACCGCCCACATGCTCCATGTCACTCCTGCAGATGGAATTCGGTTCTCAACGGTCCGGGACCGCCAAATGGCAATTTCCATCATGGTCATTGACAAAATGGGAGATAGTCCTTCTACCCCTTCCTTCTAAACCCAACCAGAAAAGGGGCCTGGCGCCATGGGTTTTCAACAACTTCGAAGGACAAAGCACTGCGCATATTATCGGTAAAGACTGAAGCAATGGGAGTCAAAAGGAAAAGGATCTTATGCAAATCGATGATTCTTGTCAAACATGCTGACTTTGAAGTCCATATGATCACCAGGTTTGCAGTGGACCAGAAGCCTTGCCACCTTCCGGAAGCCATTCTCTGATTGCATCTTCAGCCAGATCATGGATTCCATGCTCAGGAAGTCTTCCGTCTCTTTACCCACTTGCGTCACCTCCAAGGCACTCGCTCCATGAGACAGGAACTCGGACTCCCTCACTGGGCGCCCTCCATGCCGCGCGTCGCGCCAGGCGCAGTCCTCTGCTGTGAGCTCCATGGTCCGATGACTACGGTCGAGCAACAGAAGGCCCTGGGTGGTGAACCGAGCGCCGGAGTAGCAGGCCACCAGCTGCCAGGCCACCGAGCCCTTGGAGAAATTCCAGGCCACAAAGGTCCCGGGCTTCAAGAGAGTGTAGTGATCTCCCCAAATGGTGTAGATGTGAGGGTCGCCCTGGCCACCACCAACATTGGTGCTGGTGGTGCTTGTAGTGCTGCTGGGCCAAACAGTAGTGAAAGTGGTGAAACGGCTGGTGGAGGCAATGGTGGTGGACGTGTCTTTCGGAACGCAGCAGCAAAGCCGCTGATGCTTGCGGGATGCGCTGGCGCTGCAGCGTGAATCGGCTGACATTGATATAGGAGATGATGGAAAACATTGGTTGGTGCCTGATGCAAAACGCATCGTGTGGGACAGGCCCTATTGATTGCGAAGGAAACTCGTTGATAAGTTTAGTGCTTGGTGATAACCGTCCCAGGTCACAAGAAAGAAAAACACTCAAACATCATGCCGGCCTTTCTCAATAAACGACGCAGACCTGCTCAGACTGTTTGTCGGAGAAGGGCCGCATGTCCGTCCAAGGCTCTGAATCACCTTCACCATTCCTCCACCTGAGAGTAACTTTTGCTGTTCAGGGTCGCATTTCATCCCCATCGGCGCACACGGGCGAATGCAGTTGCTTCCTGCCGGCAAGAAATGCTGGCTCTGGCTGGTCACTGGTCGTTTCAATTGGCAAAAAGACTTAACAAATTGACCAGCTTCGCAAGGGAAGGGCCTCTTGGGGTGTTTGGGGACTCTGGCTTCATCGCTTTGAACTTATGAAAGTACAAATTGGAGAAAGGACATGGATTGGACGAGTGTGACTCCGCCATCTCCTAAAGCACTCAGCTTCCATTCGCAAGGTTCTGAATCCGAAGCTGAAAACCCGGCACTGGACACTTGGAGGATGGAAGCCACATCGTCTGACACGAGGTCCGCCGATAGGCGGCGCTGACCAAGAGTTTCCTGGCAAAGCAAAAAGCCAAACCCAATGCGTGGCGCAACGCACGACGATGAGAAGGTTATCCCTTAAACTGGTGGGCCTTGGATTCTGAGCCCTATGGGAGGGCCACAAGCTTGCGTTTTCCACTTCTTTGCTTCCAACAAACCAACATGCATTCGTGCGCACTAATGGATTGAGCTCTGGGCTGTCCCTGAACAGTCCTGAGAGAACGCGAGATGCATCATCATCGCAGCTGTTGCCATCATAGCCATTGCCATTGCGAAATTGAAAAGAAACGGAGCTTCGGTTGATCGTTCAAGAAAAAGGCTATGGCTTCGGCATGCAAGTCAGAGGTTCGGTGATTGCTTGCATGGGCACACTTTGTTTCATGATATCCGCCTCATCTGCGCACGTGCCCACTTTGGAGCGCCTCATCTGCACACACCACCTTTTTGGTCAAGGAGGACACCTCCCACAAGATAACATGAAGATATAGCAGAAAGCAGCAAGATAATAATTTTCACCACCATAGACATGCATACTTGGATTTTCCAACTGTGACAATTTTCTGCCTTTTCATCCATACAAAACAGCAAAGTTAGGCAAACATTTAGCATGGTTGGAAGATCCAGGTATATGCATGATTCCCCCTAAACCTCATATTCAAGGCTGCACTATGCGACCCTACATAAGGCGGCCCCACAGGGGGTTCCCCTTGCTCATACGGAGCCAGGCGCCAGTTGACGATGGTGTCAAAAAAGTGAGTCATCAATCGATTGTACAAATGAAGCACCTTGCATCACTGTTCCAGAAAGCAGACTGTCCACTTGCAAACTATCCACATGACGAAGAGTTGGGTCTTTTCTCCAATGTCTGTTGCCAGGTGAACAGGTCCAACGCGTCACCTTCGGTCTCTCCACCAGCGTCCGTCGAAGAACGCCACCCGGTCCCTCCTGCAGGGGCGCCGTGAGTCGCCGCCTTCGGCGAGTCGGCGCCGCTGAGGGGGGCGTCCAAGGCGCCGGTGAGGTGGTGGGTTTGGGTAGAGATGTGACGAATGGGCAGATACTGGGTGGTTGGTTTACCACTCAATGCAATGTGATCCTAAATCCTAAAGGACCGCAAGTTTGCTTTAGCGTGATTTGCACTGAGCACTGTAGGCTCAACAACATATGGATCAAAATGGCTTGCTATCCTAGATGGAGGCCCAATAACATTCAAGTCTGATGAGTGAGTTCTGCTTCTTCTGATTGCTGACGCGCCAAGAATTGAGAACAAAACACATCTTCTCAGAGAATCCATCGGCCGAAACAGGTATATATAACAATCAAACAACAAAACCCTCAGCCAGCAGTAGAACTTGATTTACATTCTTTTACCAAGGATTTGACACTACAACACCAGGTCACTCATTCGTTTAATGGTGGAACGGAAGGCTAGGTCTTTTTGAAGTTTGATGAGTTTCCTCCCCTGACCTTTCTTGTCAAATGTTGAATTGGGTTGTGCCAGCGGAGTTGCATATTCCCATCTGCGGTCGTGTGAGGGGTAAAGTATGGTAAAATCCTTCCAGCCGCGTGTTCGCCGATACTGCAAGCTGTGTATCGACCGACTCAGAAAGTATGGACCTCTTTTCACATGGCCAGTCATCCCCCTGTCCCTGTGTACATCCCCAACCTTGCTTTTCGACCTTCCGTGTCTTGTGATCTACGGCATTGCTTTATTCGGCAGTGCGTCGATCGGCAGTGCGAAAAACGGCCCCGAGATTCGGATGAAAAACGAAGAGCAAGCAGGTGCCATCCACTTCCATGTTGGTGACTCGTAGTATACACTCTTTTGCACCTTCCTCGTCCGAAGAACAGAACGCCCCACTCTGAACCGCGGAGGTCACGCGAACGCCCAACACTGCGGTGGCCCGCACCACAGCGGCCACCGCCCAGGCAGCGGCGAGCGCGGTGGGAGGGACAGAGACACAAACGCGATACCTTTTGGGCCCGCGACCCGTGGACCCGTGAAGATCCAGCGACCCTCGGGCCGACCCGGTTTTGGAGCGCCTGGGTTCGGAGGCGCTCAGTCTGTGAGGCGAATCGTGAGGCGATGGTGAATCGATCCAATACCCCGCCTGGAGGTTTCGAAGTGGATGCTGGATTGATTCGAGCAAAAAGGGCAGAAAGAGAAAGATCGGCAGGGACAAATGCTTGACAAGATTGGGAATTTGGGCGTGATTTGATTGAAGAGTTTGGAGCATATTGGGGTGAGCATAGCGCTTCTACAAAAGAACACACCTGACCTCCCTACAGGACTAAAGTTTTGGTTGGTTTGACTTGACTGTACTTTTTAATGCACGTGAAAAATCAGCATGGCCATGGTGGGAGTGGCCTTTTGCAGAAAACTGTCTCTAAACAATTGGGCGTACCTCTAATTTCCACTGCAAAAATGCTTTTCCACAAACCAGAATTAGCTATGCCATGATACTTGATTTCGTAGAGACAGTTTTAAAGGGCCGGGATACTTTTTAGGCTTCAACAGGCTTTCGGGGGTGCTCTCTCTCTCTCTCTCTCTCCCTCCCTCCCTCCAAAAGGTTACTCATGCCAACATCCACCTGTCCACCCAATCAAGCTGAATCACTCATATTCTCAGCCTCTTCCTGTGGGTCCGCAGCCCGCTTCCTGCGTCCCAAGCATCGTCAGGTCCAACAGTCGGACGCCGCAACCCCTGGAAAGTGACCTCGAAGGGATAAGGAGGAAAAAAGATATGAACACCACATGGAACAAGCAGAACTGACAGCGAGCGAAAGCTCGATCTTCCGTTCGCCTTTTGTTGGTCTTGCCAACATGCTGATTTCGCATGCATATCAGCATATCCATCATATATACCCTAGAAGTCCAAAGACTATATTTTGACCGGCTGAAGTAAAGGAAGTTCCCTTTCAGGTCCCCTAAAGACCATTCTTTTTATAGTCTTTGACTCCCAGGGTATATCCATCGTACCAATCTTCCTGCGGACGACGATCCTTTTGCGACTTCGGGTCCCTTCACGTCCCGATCTGCACACCGCCTTTCTCGGACTTGATCGATTAGCATGTCATCTGCGAACGGATGGCAGCTTAGCCGCCACGACTACGTCGGTGACCGGTGAGAAAGGTCGGGGCAAATCAATCCCTGCCGCCCACACCGCTGCGGTGTGGAGTTCGGAATCACGAGCTGCTTGCTGCTTTACGAAGGATTTCGCACTACAACACCAGGTCAACCATTTGTTTCATGGTCTTGGAATCAAGGCGAGCCAGGCGAGTTTGAGCATTTTGGCTTGCTATGGCCCCATACAATTGGCTGCGAAAGGCTGAACAAGACATGAACGGAACCCCTCCAGCCACCATTTGGAGCAATCCCAATAGAAAACACCCGTGGCCCAAAACCAGGTCAATTCCAAAAAGCAAATGAACAAACAGGTGATGTAGCATGACCCCCCTGAGATAGACGCACTTTGCAATGCCTGTCCCGCAAGTACAACATATCCAAGTTCACGACTCTACCTCAACATGTTGATGTTCCACACAACAAATGAATGAATCAATCCCATACACTCCATGGGACTGCCATATATGCCCACATTGACCCCCCTGGCACCACTCCAATGTGGGCATATATGGCAGTCCCATGGAGTCTATATGGGAATTGTTATTCTGTTATTCTGCTCCAAAGGGATTTGTTTGGCAAACCGACCTTCCGGTGACACACGTTGCCGCAAGAAGACCCTGTTACGGTCCAGCTTGCAATACACCAAGAAAAACTATATGTCTCGATCAGCTAGATCAGCTGGAGATGAACCGAGATCAAGTGTGCACTTGATTCGTAATGTTTTCCTGTTATTATATTGGGTGGGTTCGAGTATAGTGATGCCACCCCCATGCAAACAATGACTCGGGGGTGGGTGACAGGCAGTGCCTGACAGCCAGCCTTGACTCGGTGATTCGATGATGTTCGCAGGGGAACTCGGATTCCTGGCCCAGATTGCATGAAAATTCTGAAGAAGACCTTGTTTTGCTACGGATGTTCGACGGCACCAGGGGTCATACCAGGTCATACCACTGTCTCCTGGAAAATGGTCGAACGGAAGGCGATGCTACGATGCTACGAGTATTAGGTGCTGCTTGCACTTCGAAGTCAGGACAGGCCCGCCTGGTCGTTTTTTGTGGCAGGGTCGCAAGAGAAATGGAGATGACCTCAATCGGTTCCTTAAGGATAGCTTAAGGATAGCTTAAGGACTAGCTTAATTAAGGACTAGCTTAACGATATGTGATATGTGTATCATGTATTGTTCTTTCAATTCCTTCCCTCAAATCCGGAACCCAATCTCAGGTATCCCAACCCTTAGGAACAACCTAAAGCACTTCATAGGGTGAGTTCTCAAAACTCCGCTCACACTCCCCAACCATTTCGTTCTTAAAACACCGGCTCTTTCGAACATTCACCCTGCCTTTCTGCCTGATCTCAGCTGATCCGCGACACGGAGCGCTTCGCGCGCGGAGGCTTCACCGGTGCCAGCTCGGCCGGCGCCGCGCGGGGCCCAGCGCTCGGGCGGCGCGCGCTGCCCACGGCGGAGGCAACCGGGCGCGGCAGTTTCTCCTTTTCGGCCTGTGGCACGAAGGGGCTGAGGTCGAGATGATGGGATGAAAGCCCCTTTGTCTCTTGATTTTGGCCCCTGGAGAACCAAAGTGACACATGCTCAGAAGGAACATACAGGACATGACAAAATATCACAAAAAGAACTGTGGAAGAGCTCAACAGAACCAGCTTTTTCAAATTGACCGAACACCTGAGGGTCCCAGCCACACTTTCGAGGCTTTGGATCCTAAGGCAATCTCGGATTTCAAAGGGTCCAAGTCTTTTCATGAAGAAAACACGGTAGGAATATTGAAGCCGGTTTTAAGCTTCGGGAAGAAAGCATGAGTGAAAAAGAGCATGGGCCATTGGTCACGTCACTTTATACTTGTATGTCTTTGGAAGTTTAGGCTAAAAGTCTTTGGTCCCTGGGTCGTCAAGCCTCTGAACTGCTTGGTCCATCTGCCAGACCGCTCCAGGTCCAGAGTTCCAGCCGCCGGGACGAAGCGGACGAAGCTTCTTCGAGGGTTCCTGCTTCCACCATTGATCGACTCGGGCCTGATCTGTTTGGTAAGCGTTTGAGTGGATGGATGGGTTTTGGAGGAAAGCCACTGACTGGTGCTTAGTAGGGAATGAGGGAATGGATCCAAAGGAATCTCTATTGGGGCTCATTCCCTCATTCCCTACTAAGCACCAGTCAGGCCATGATGGCTGGGAATCCACTTGGACTCCCCAACAAGAAGAACCCATGCTGTTTGCTAGATCCAAAGATCTGGACTGGACCGCTTTTCGCACAGCGATTCTCCTAGACAGGACATTTCAACCACCACGAAGCCAGATGTGGGCGGATGTGGGCGCTCTCTCGTCCGCACCTTCCGTGGTGTCTGCTGCGGCCAGGACTGGTAGGCATCGGCATCCGGAGGACAGGCCTTTGCGAAGGCGGCCCTTTTGGCGTTTCAAACATGGGGAGTGAGAAAAAGGCAGGGTTGCTCGGGGAGTCCAACAGTTTTGTGACCTGGATCTTCACACTGTGACACATGTCCACCTTTTCATCCATAACAAAGCAGGCAAGTTAGTTGGAAGATCTAGAAAAAAGGTCTGACATTGTCTGACCATGTCAAATGTATATAATATGGTGACCAGACAACAGGAGACTTCCTTGACTTTGGTGGTGCCAGTTCGACCGATCTTGGGCAACATCAACGTGTGGAAGTTCCTGAACATGATCGACTCTGAGAAAGGGACACGTTGGCCGAAGGATCCGAACGCACCGCTTTCCGACCGCATGAGAGGTAGTATGAGCTTGTATATCCGACCGTATGTGCTTCCCTGCTCCCCACGCTTTCCTTCCTGCAGGATAGAACGCAGAATCATCCATGTAGCAAGACAGTGGTCTCACGTGGAGGAAGAATCCTCTGACAGATCCTCTGAGGCAGTTCTGGGGTTCAGCTTCTTGCTTCGCCCTAACCATCACAGGAAGTTCCTTGGCCTCGCTAGGAAGCCACAAGGCTCAGCGAACAAGGCTTCAGGACTGAGGACGCGTAGAGGGTTGGTTCTGGTGAGTTTTGATCACATGATGGAGGTTTCGGACATGAAGGATCCCAGAGACTCCATGTATGCCATATATGCCTACATTGACCCCCCCAAACCACCCCAATGTAGGCATATGTGGCATACATGGAGTGTCTGGGGATGATGAAACGCTTCTGTTGTTCCATGAACAAAGGAGAGGAACCTGAAGGAGTACAGGAAGCTGGTTTAGGATTTGAGACAAGCGGGTCTCTTTGATAAACTGCTCACATAATGCGTGTTCATATTCCAGATTTTCCCTAATTCCCCCAGATTGCCTGGTAAATAAAGGTCAATCACGGTCAACCATGTTTTCCACCTCTTGATCTTTGTTTCGCTTCACCAGTTCCCAAGCAGCAAAACGTTCCAGCCGCCCTCCCCCCACCTACCCCCGCCTTCCAGGGCCCAGCGCGCACCGGGGGCAAGGACCGCTCTGGCTCCTTCGACCGCCAGCGCTCGCGCTGCTCGTGCTGCCGCTCTCCGCGAGGGATCGGCGCAGGGCCTGGAGAGGTTGGGTGCTGCGGTGACGCGGCCTCGTCGCCGCCTTCGCCACACCGCGACGCGTAAAAAATAAGAAAAAACCACCCACCACCTTCATTGCTTTCATCCCTCCCGAGCTCATCGGACTGTTTTTCGGAAATGTCTGTCAACATTTCACGGGTGCAAAGGTATACTTTCACATACACCGTGTGCGCGTTTTCCTCGAAGTTTGAAGGCGGCTCGAGCGTGGAGTTGATTGAAAACCGGTGTTGGGAGGTGTCCTGTGGTGCGAAGCAAGGCCGCTCCATGGCAACTCCAAAGCAAGGCCGCTTGGGTAAAGGAGGACCAGAGCAGTTCACAGCGTCCCAGCTCCTGAGAGGACTGACGGGCGTCAGTTCACGCCGTGACAGCTTGGGTTCAGTTTGAGCTTCAACAGCCTGGGCAGCCTGCGCCTCATTGATGCTTTGGGACATCAAACAGTGCAGGTCAAGCGATTTGAAGGTCGTCACGCAGTAAGTTTGCTTTCCCGAAGGAGCATGCTAAAGCTGCGAAGTTTTGCGGTCCCCCCAATTTGGAGTGCAATACGGGAGTTTTTGCTGATCAAGAGTGTGAACCAGATTCAGGTGGAACACATGGGGGGATTCAAAGGAAATGGACTCCGACCACCGTATGGTTTGAGAGATGCCACCCAAAAAACTGGCGAAGAAAGGATTTGAGATCCCTGTGAGAGGTTGTTCAGTTGGAGTGCGGATTCCAGGGCAGTTCAGAAAGCGGTTCCCCTCTCCGAGAGCATTTTTCCGATACACCCTCCACCTACCACTCCACCACTCCTGCTCAATCACCCTTCTGTTTGTAGACGGGTTTCCCCCTGGGACCACGGCGACCACGGCGACCGCATGCACCGCCGCCCCGACCGGAGCCGAACGAGATTTCGGGGGACCGGTCGGACCGAGGCGCTCGAGGCGCTCGAGGCATGGGGCTCTCCAGCTGCTCCCAGCGCATCTCGGAGAACTGCAAGAGCCAGCCTCGGCGGCTGCGCCGCGACGCAGCAGCCGAAGCTTCTGAGACACGCAGTGCCGAGAACGAGGAACTGCGCAGTTCTGGTGGGGCTGCTCGTGACTGGAACTAGGGGATGGAGTGTTGGTTTGAAGGAAATCTCTTGGGACCCTAAACTTTCGGGTCATTGTCTTCCTCCAAACCATGCCAAAGGTAGAAACCACACCCACAACCATATAGGGTCATAACTC